ATGGCTTGTCAAAATCACAGGACGAAATCGTTAGATCCCTTCTAAAAGACATAAATTCATCAGAGCTCGAGTCACGGCTCCAATTCGACAAGAAAATCATTTTGGGTACGTAGTCTAGCAGAGTTGGATTGGAAAATGCTAGAAGACACTGACAAAGTGATAACAAAATCTTTCCTACAACAAGATGACAACGAGACCTAGGTACAAGGTGCACGCAATAAACCTAGAAATGCAGAATGAATGATAAACTTTAAGAGAATTTTGTATCACACCATCTTTGAAATGGCGCACACTTTTAAACGATTGGTCACCTGCCCTATTAAAATATTACCTCAAAGCCTTTTAATTAACTCTCCCTAATCCAAGCAACCTAGTAAGGTGGTTTAGGGAAAAGCTACAGCTAAAAAGCTACAGAAAAGGCTTGTATGATGCGCAGTGCGGAAATAGATACAGCCGGGCACTTACTGACAGGTTGTAAGGCGCCATTAGACCGGGGTTATTATTCACGTCGCCATGATAGGGTATTACAAATCATACGCGAAGCTATGAGTTAATCACTGGCGAGAGCGAAAAAGGAATAACAACAGTGAATCCATGGAACATTAAGAAATAAGTTGATATATTTATGTTCTAACCAGAATTTGAGACATCATTACTATCATTATTATTCCTTCATGGTGATCCAATAATAAAAATATATCGACCAAGATAATTTGGTATTGATAGTGTGTAGTGGCATCGTGTAAGTATAACAAAATCGATATTAGGTTATGGTGTCATTAGCTTTGTCAGCAAAGAAACAAAATAATTAGAATACTGAAAATTGTTCAGAAAATAAAATAAATAAAATTTAAAATAAAATATTTATTTCAAATAAAATCAAATTAACAAATAAAAGGAACATAATAATATATTTAAATAATTTTGTGAATCTTACACAAATGACTTGATGAGAATTTTCTATTATTTCTAAAAATACATTGGTAAATAAAAGATGAAAAGCTTACAAACTAATAACACGAGTTCATATACGTACAATAAAATGTCTCTTCAGTTACAATTTTACAATATTCATGTGACGTTTATTATTCTATAATCTGAGGTACACTGATTTATTTCAAACTTTAATCTGACATATTTAATATTAACGTTTCAATTTTCTTTAGTAAATGGAGGAGGCCTATGTCCAGCAGTGGACTACTAAAGGCTGTTGATGATTGATGAAATATAAAAGAAAAAAAAAAAGGAATAAAAAAATGACAACATACTTATAGCATTACGTAGGAACATTATTGTATTTACGACAATATCTTCATTGTAATTTCGTTTAAAATTAATCTCACCTTTATATATTTATTCAAATAGATTTGTGTTATATATATACTTATAACTACGGTTGTTTTGAATGAAACGTGAGCCATCATAATATTTGTGTGATGAATAAAGTCCTTCGGCATTTTAATGTATTTTTGAGATATCTTTTTAAACAGATCTTATTATTGTAAAAACTCATAGTTCATTTATCTCGTTTAATATTTTGTTTTAGAACGTGGGCTTTATTTTACCACGATGTTAGTTAATTATTTTTATAAATAAACCCACATTAGGCTTATTAGTTAAATATGCATTTACTTGTATGGACATAATGCATCCAGTATGCAAAATGTCCAATGTATAAAGGAAGTCCGCTGTGAAGTGTGAACGTGTGATGTATATATTATATTGATGCAAAAAGATATTTGAACTATACGATATTTAAAACAAAGAATTATCTTTGAACTTTCACATTCGTGCGATTACAGTAAAAGTTATTTGTGTGTCAGACTGAATCCTGACTCCACGGCGAGTGTAACCCGTTCCAAACGTCAGTCAGTTTCAACTATATGTGCGTATATATTGGTGGAGTAAATCATGATATTAATGTTCCTTTACTTCACGTAGGTATCAAGCCTGTAACTGTTATTTTGTATAGATGCATTTTGGCGCATAACTTAGGCCATGGCAAGAGTCCACTTGAATATAACTTTAATTTAAGAATAGTTACATGATCTTATTTTATCGATCGTGGTGAAGGATGATCGATCTTGTAGAGATACTTCATCAATGTGTGTGTGTTTGTGCGTGTACGTATGTTTCAACTTAAAAGAAAAAGAAACTAAATAATCAATATATAAACACCATTAATAATGTTATAAAACTCGTATACAATGTTAAAAAGCGCTGTAATAATCACATATAAACTGTCTACTTTGTATGGTACATACAAAACAATAGCATGAAAAACATATCTACTAACAACTATAAACTTTATATGTATAATGATACCGAGATCATTTACTATATAATAATTAAACACAACAATTATAATTAAGTCATAATTTATGTTCCAAAAATCACCGCCTTACTATAGTGATTTTGTTTTGTCATTCAAGTTTTTTTAGTTTACTGGACAATTTATTTAATTCGTCGCTAAGTGGTAACCGAGGAAGTTAACACAGTGCAAAGTTAAGCCAGGTCAGTATATGAACGGATGACCATTCTTAACACATTAAGACGAGGGGTCTTAATATGTTAAGAATGCACTCAAAACACCTGTTCAACATATGTTACTATTAAAGTAGGGCCGCAATATTAAGAGATGTAAATTGATTAAAACAAAAAAAACAGTGAATTACTATCTGTGTTAAGGATGCTGGTTGAGATTTATTAAGATATAATATACGAGATCAACCTCGTTGAAATGGTACGTGAAGATACATGGGGTTCTTTTGACATTGTCCTGTTAAAGTTCTAACTACCATAAAAACTTCGTACACAGCAAAAATAATATCATGTCTCATAAACAAAGTGCACCTTTAGTACATACTTTTACAGATTAAATAACTGCAGAAGGCTTTGTTTTTCGTTTCTAGTCAGAACTCTTGCGTGTTTTACAGACATTCAAAAAGTATTTGGCGTGAGATATGTATAACTTTTTGACAAAATATCTAAAACAATAAGGACCAAAAGGTCTACAAAACGGAATGTGATTAATAAACGATTATATCAAACTGTATACTTTATACACAAGAGACTTGGGACACAACAGAATGTAAAAATATTTCGAATAAAAATAACAGTAGAAAGTTACGACATTACGATATGCAAAATCGCTCACTCTATTTTTTTTTTAGTAGACACAAAACACAGGACACAAAACAATAATAAATAAAAATATATACTGGATACCTATAGCTTCATTTAATTTAATTTTAGTTGCGCAAAATTTGGAATTGCACTATTATCATCAATTAAACATAAGTTCAATATTACTCTTGCATTTTTTTTAAATATTTCTTAAGATGTCAGATTGCATGGACGTATTAATTTATCTTTATATTTGTAGAAATCTCACAATTCTTCGTATCATACTCAAAGTAAACAGTCATTCATTTGTCAAACTTGTTACTTTATTTTTTATTGGAGATCGGCAGCTAGTATTCTTTTCGTATTATATTCTTTTCGTATTCGGCCTAAAAATATGCCAAAGTAAAAACGATGTTCTCTCAAAATAGCAGGTATTTGATATTTCATTTTATAAATTATAATATTAGTTCTTAGAAAGTCTGTCCAAGGTTATTAGGTTCATCGCTACTGGAATTTTTCAATAATAAAAAACTATTTCTGGACACATCCTTTACGTATTTTTCTATTTTTGGTCACAATCAGAAAAAGTATATGTTCTGCAAATAAAAGTTACATTCATAAATTCACATATGCGTGTTTAATTGTTACATCTTTGTACGGTTATAAGATTCTATTACTTTTAAATTAATTATATATTATTTAGCAGACTATCTTCTAGTAAGATGCTTGTAAAAAAATCATAACAGAATAATAATAAATAATAATATAAGAATCTGGATCTGGGTACTCTTTGTGTCTGTTTCATGAATGTGTGTGGGGTCTCCCAACACTTGATATGTTCCGGGTGCGGGAGTTCTTTTTAAAAATAATAAAAAATGAAATTAACATGTAGTACCAATAAAATCTGCGTTAATACACCATAACTATTAGAGAACTAAACTTAAATGATGCAGCTCAAAAGATTGGTAAACTACTCGTATAACATACAATAGAGATGTTGACATTAATCGCGAATTTTTAAACGCTGTAACCAAACGATTGTGATATTTTAAACCAAAAACACATTAAAAACGATAATATTAATCATAGTTTTTTAATTTAAAATATTAATAAAAAATAATTTAAATACTAAAGGATACCACTTCTTTTTAAGGAGACTATTATTTATGTTTTATAAGGGTTTACCTATAAAATACTTTCACTAATGTTTTTCTGTCAAAAAATAAAGTAAACCGTTTTCTGACATGCCTTAAAAATTTGATTTCATCGAAATTACGAATATATAATAACTCATTATTCGTGTTCACTTCTAGATATAATGATATTATTTGGATACTTAGATTACGTCCATTCGATGACGTTATTTTAATCTTACGTAATTATAAATAAGATCTGTATGCGTGAAACGCCGTTCTACTAAAAGCGTCTACACCACGGCCTATAGCTTGTTCTAAAGTTCTGTGGAACGTGATATTTAACGTTTGTGATGTCGACGACTGCGGATTTGAAAGTCACAATTTAATAAAGCACCTTCTCAGATCTTAACTTATTGTCCTTATCTGGCACGTTTCGTTACCTTACAATAAATAATTACAAAACATATCGATAACTTATTACAGCGAGGATATAAATGATACATTGAATATCTTTTACACTTACAAAATTATAAAATAATTTAAATTATACTAAAAAAATACACTTCAATATTACATATATCCACATTTGGCTTGGCGCTTCAGTTTAGCCCTTCTTAAAGTTACGAGCCTAAATTCCTATCCTGACATGTTCAAGCCCACAGTCGCCGAGCGAGCGGAGCTGAATGCTACGTCACTCGTGACGTCATTATACCCTAATACATGTGTCGGTGTGGTCCTTCAGTGCTCGTAGATGACTCCGCCGATGCCAGACAGCGAGGACTTGCCCGACAGGTAGATGTCCACGGCTCTGGCTGCCTGCCGACCTTCGGAGATCGCCCACACCACTAGCGACTGGCCTCGGCGACAATCTGCGGCGAACGTAATACGCTTTTAGATGTATATAATTATCTTACGTTATACAAATATTTAAATTAAATTATTATACATACGTAATAAAGTTTTGTAAAATAGCAAGTAAAAAAACTGATCCTACCTTCGGCAAGACGAAAGCATAATTGCGCTTCTTGTAATTTTACAGCGGATCCATTTTATTATCCATTGTTTTTATAATTAGGCCTTATACGCCTTTTTATTTTTATTAAGTTCAACCTAACAGAAGTGTTTGTAAGGAAGTATTATTATTTATTCTCCTTTGGTTTAACTAAGTATATGATTACTGTCATTTAACAGTTTGTCTTACCGAAGATGCGAAATAGTTTGAGTGGCCAAGAATAAAACACATAGATACACAGATACATAGGCTTTTCGGGAATAATTATGTGTCTTTCTGTCATAACAACTCTGTCATTAGGTAAGAACAATATTTAGCAGTATTATTTACGTACCTCCAGCGGCAAAGACATTGCTGACAGATGTCTTGTAGATGTTTGACTTTTCAGTTTCCACGTTGCTTCGAGCGTCGAGCGGAAGGTCTGGTAACAAATATAAAGGGTATCAACAAACTTGAACCACTACCATGGTTGTTTTATTTTATTTGATAATTTCATTTGAAGAGAGTTACACAAGATAATTAGGACTCGGCCCTAAGCGTGGTAAAGTAAAATTTGGAGTTTGCAAAGTCATAATTCAAACTTAAACTGATTTGATACAGAATGAACTAATTTTTAAACAATATTCTAAGGTTTTTAAAAATTAAATAAGATATATATTATTTATGGTGATGATGAAATATATCACTAAATGTTATTTATTATTTAGCACAATTACTTAATTAATTATTTTCAATTCATTACAATGTTATTTATTTCACCTACCACAATTAATTAATGATCATATTATTCATTGAAAGATTATTTAATATTTAGCACCATTTACTGGTTATTATCAAATTTACTGCAATGTTATTTAATATTTAGAATAAGCAAATTACTTTATATGTACAATGCATTACTAATTACATTCTCATCAAGTATTGTAAATACTTTAGTAGTAGAATAAATGGCTTTTTTATTTTATTTTATTTTTATTAATTCAAACTTAACAGAGTATCACATGTCAGAAGTGTGACTTATTGATGAATCAATTATTGTAGTTCAGTTTTTATTACCATAATAAATGTTCTTTGGTGTTAGAAAACTACTAAACAGACAACTTACTTGTGTCTTAAATAATTTATATATTTTTTTATGTAATATACATAACAAACAAGAAGACAGGTCACCTATTTTATAATAGGTAACCTAAAAATACAACAATTTGTAGATCACACAAAGTGATGTCCTATATGGGGATCGAACCCATGACACTTACCGCAGTAGGCAGCGGCGAGGTACCCGCTTACACCACTAAGCCATCCGTGCAGTTGACTATTTATAAACTATCTCTCTCGTGCAAGATTGCGACTCTTGTTCACTCGATGTTTATATCTCTATGCTTACAACACAAAAGATACAAGTGTTGCCACCCTTTTTGTGTCCTTGTCCAATCCTAAATAAGTTTGGTTTTGGGCCTCTTAAGACTTCAAACACTCGGCATGAATTGCTTAAATGTAATAGATAGAAGAAGTAAACGCAGTCACAACTCACCCAGCTGGTTGGCGACGTACCGCTCGGGCCCCAGGAAGCCCATGGCGAGCAGCACCAGGTCCGCCTTGTACACGCGGGCGGTGTCGGGCAGCTCCTGCATCTCCCAGCGCCCGCCCGCGCCGCGCGTCCACTCCACCTCCACGGCCGACACGCCCGACACGTTGCCCTCGCCTGACACACGTACGGAATTTCAATTAACTCACAGCTGATTTTCAGCATTAGAACATTTGATACAGATATAGTTTCGTCGAGAGTCAAATGAGATTCTTTATTGCACGTCCTGGGATATTAATGGTTTCTAAATAGTTCAATTTGTTTTCGTTAGATGTCGCTAGTTTTATCGCCTTCAAATCGAGTAAAAGAAAATACAACTCACCATCGTCCAGGAATTCCTTGGTGAGTGTCGAGAACTTCCTCGGATCATTACCGAACTTGACTTTCACTTCTTCGTGTCCATAGTCCACCCTGTTGAAAAGACAATCAATTTAGTCAATTTAACACTCGTATTAAACACGGCTGACTGTAAATCTATATAAAAGCAAAACATATAAGTGGATTTCTCAGCAGTCTGGTTATCATAGTACAGGTTCTGTCTAAATAGGATAGACAGCCAAAGTGATTATACCTTGCCCTTTCAGTTAAAAACAGAAAAAATGCATTTATAATGCCTTAGGAAATTTTATGTACCTGAAGACTCTGGGCCATTGTGGCCAGGGGTTATCCTGCCCTCTGGTCGTTTTCGGTTCGGGTAAAATCTCGAATGTTGTGATAGATTTGGCGCCCTGGCGTAGTGATGTTGCTATACAGTCGCACCTGAAATAGAACATAAATAAAGATAAAAAACGACTAATCCTACTACGACTAATTTACTTTAAAAATTATTCTTAAATTATTTTATTTCATTTACACAGATGTTGCTCACTTGACAAAAAATATGCAACTGTTATTTTTTATTGAAATTAAACTACTTAAAAAATCCTAACTAATATGTTTGAGGGTTTCTTTTTATATTTCTTGGTAACTGGTAACTTATCCTCAAAGGCTATCTTTCATCCCGAAAACAATGACTGTCTCCAAGGAATAACAAAACTCGATTGAAGAAATCATACAATCGCGAGCAAAACCGCCTCTAAATCTAGCTAAAGTATATTTAACACAAGGTATATTTAGATTGATAGTCCATCTATTTCTCGTTGTCAACAGGAACAATGGTCGTCTCTGTTCCACAAAGGTAGTGTTACAAAATGGGGGGTCCCCATTTTGTTGTTGTTTTTTTGCTAAAACTAAAAACTAAAAAAACGCCATCTAATTTCAAACAAAGCCGAGCTTTTACTATAAAAGCTGGATTGACTGATAAAATACTTACATACTTTTTTTTTTATAAATACATACATATTTTACATAGAAAACACCCAAATTCCAAAACAAATATTTGCAGATCATACAAATTTTTGGTCCCACCCGGGCATCGAACTAGAGACCTCAGCACATCAATCGCATACGTTACCACTGCACCACCGAGGCAGTCCAATAATTTATTTTAAGAATGTATCTATCGTTCTTACCCAGTATCTCCACCGCCAATGATTAGAACGTCCTTATCTTTAGCGTTCAATTCAGGATTATCTTTAGTCTGATGGTGTCCGGAAGAACCCATCTGTTTCTTCTGCCAGTTCTCCAGGAACTCCATAGCGAAGTGGATGCCGTTCAATTGCCGACCTTTGAGTGGCAAGTCCCGGGGCCAGGTCGCACCCATACATAGGACAAGGGCATCGTATCTGAAGAGAAATCATGACCATTTACAGATTTATTCTCTTTATTAAGGAATTTTTATACTGTTTACTGTATAAAAATTCCTATACGTAAACCTAGTTGGTTACTAATAACGCCAACTAAGCTTAAAGTCTTGCGTAAGGAGGACTATCATTGTGAAGGTCTACTGTCTGAAGTGTTAACCATAGTCTACAGTCATTTACATTTCTAAGATAGTCTTTCATGTCCCATCAGAGTACTGACTGGTGATCTCGCAATAAAGTGTGACCAGAATTCTGTAAACTGAATCGTGATTTTAATATTGTATATTTTTAATTAATTTATTAAGTCGTGTTAAAAATAATAGCTTTATTGGTAGTTCTGATAAAAAAAAAACCATATATACACATTTTAGTTTTGCAATTTAATGATTAATTTATTATGTACAGACTTTGATACGTTAATAGATCTTTGTATCTTACGATATAAATCAATTTTAATCTGAACTACGTCCCTACTTTTATTACTACAGATTTGCACGCACATAAAGCATGAATCGTGATTCTCGGGGGCCTCCCCACGAGGATCACGATTAAACATGCGCGCGCGCACTCCACGTCCGAACAACGAGCGACGCGCGCGCTTTAAACTTCTCTATGATTGTACTGTGTTACGTATTATATTGTTATACACTCCACTTTTTCTTGTCTTTCCTTTAACCAAAGAAGAAGCCTAAACAACAGATTAAGTAAATAACGTACTCGTTTGCTAGATCGCTAGCCGAGATGTCCCTGCCGACGTCAATATTACACTTGAAAGAGATCCCTTCCGCAGTCATTAGCTTGATGCGTCTGCCCACCACCGCCTTGCTCAGCTTCATGGTGGGGATGCCGTACTGCAGTAGTCCGCCTGGACGGTCGTTGCGTTCGAATACTGTCACTGTGTAGCCAACCTGGAATTTATTAACGCGTTAAATAAAATCCTAACTGCTAAGCCGGAGGTTCTGGGTTCAATTCCGACCCAGAACAAATAATTGTGTGATGAACGTGATCTGTGTCTCTGTGTAATTCATCGGCAATATATAAGTATGTTTATCAGTTGCTAACAGCAGGTGGTCCATTTTATATTTACTTAGTGGGTCATGTTATTAATTGTGAGTAAGTTTAATACTTTTTAGTGAACCCTGTATTAAATAGAATAGCTGAGATTCAGATAATCACCTTATTCAGTTGGTGTGCTGCCGCTAAGCCGGCCGGACCGGAGCCAACTATTGCCACAGTTTTTCCATTTCTGTGTGTTGGTATCTAAAACATAATAAGACTATCATGGCTACCCTGAAAATTATGTACTTTTATTAGGAAAGACCAGATAAATTAAGTTATTTATTTAATTATATAAAATAATTTATTAAGTTTTGAATTTTTTCTTCTACTTCTTTGACCAGTCCTATATAACTTGAACTGTAATTCTATAGACTTTACGTACCATGAAATGTCTACCTAAGCCCCTGTAGATTTGTTAGCCATTTTCATATAGATCAAAAAGAAAAAACTATTTGTAATAAAACTCTAAAACTTATATTTTTTAACATAAAAAAAAAATCGGTTGACGAAAATAGGAGAAAAAAGTTTTTAAACGTTTTAACTAGTTCATTTATTAAGGTGAGTTCGTAAAAAACTGTAATAGTTACCTCGGGTTGCATCCACCCAGATTCAAAGGCGTGGTCGATGATGGCGCACTCAATGTTCTTGATCGTGACCGGCGGCTCGGATATGCCCAACACGCAGGAGCCCTCGCACGGCGCGGGACACACGCGCCCAGTGAACTCTGTCGTAGCAACAAGTACAACACATGTATTTTATTGTAAATTTATCTATTAGTATGTAATTGTTATGAGTATTCTTTTAATTTCAGTGCTAAACATACCATTGTATATTGGTATTAAATAAATGCTGTTGGGCCTTAGGATTAAATGTTTCGATTGTTCCACAATAGTATGGATTGTGGAGGACAGTCATCTAATTATCAGCCATCTAATATTGAGTAAAGTACAACTATTAAGATTGTGGTTAATAATTCTGATTCTTACAGCTCTAGATGTCACTGCAAGTAACGCGTGACTGATGCTGGAATATTCTTGTTTGTCTGGAACGGCCTATCGAATACTAGGGATCTTTCTAGTAAATTCAATAGCGCTATAAAAGCGGAGCGTGTTGGCCCGTCGAGACAGCATCGTTTTACAACACAGCGAATTAACATCGAAGTGAATCCCTAATGCGACTAACAAATTATATAGTGATTTCTTGTTTGTTATAGTGAGTGTTAGTAAATACAGTGCAATAAAAGTAATTAGCCGAGAACTTTTATGTATTATATACCCCGCTCGTAATAATCCCATTCTTAAATATATTATATTTAAGGTAAAGGGTTTCTTTCAGAGAAGTCACATAAAACAAGCTTACAAGTAATAGAGACGTGTAAATTTAAATTTCAAAACGTCGCTAACTTTATAAACAAAATTTAACATTTACGTAGGTAAGGTACATTTATTAGAGAATGTGTATGTGTAGTTACGAAGTGAGTTCGTTCTTTTAAAGGATTAAGCTTTTCTAGTTATTATAATTCAAGTAACTTAATACATTGTTGTGATTTATAACAATTTGTTGGACCATTGAAACTGGGGGGTTCATGCAAAATTGCTTCATCGCGGGAACCCTTCAAATATTTGTGGAAACTTTCAAATTTTTGTAAAATGCTTTTTTTGTTAGTCGTCGTTTACTACGTAATAATATTAAGTTTTCGTCACAATTGTACATATACAACGTTGACAATGCGTTATCCGGACTCCGCGACGGGTTTCCATGATGAACATAAACGTGGCGCGCGTAGAAACGCGTCGGACACCTAAGCGGTACGTTCGAGCCTCGTCACTTACCCGGGAAGTTGTTGGTCTGCAGCAGCTGGCTGAGCGCCTCGTGCCAGTTGCCGCGGAAGATGAGGTCGTTCCACTTGGGGATGATGTTGCCGAGCGGACAGCCGTGCGCGCTCTGGCAGAAGGGCACGCCGCAGTCCATGCAGCGCGCCGCCTGCACGCGCAGCCCGCGCCGCACGTGCCCGCCGTTGTAGATCTCGTCCCAGTCGCGCATGCGCTTCTCCGCCGGCCGGTACAGCGACGTCTCGCGCGGGTATTTCATGAACCCTCTGTGCGGAAACACGACGTCATAATTACCTTCGGTTCGCCCCTTCACCTCAAATAATAAACTAGCTACCCGTCCCACCTTTGCGATGTAGATACTAATGTAGTGTCAGTGTAAAGTAATTAATTATGATTATGATTAGACTTTACTAAAGGATATCTTTAAATACAAAATATTTAAAAGCAACGCTCCGCGCTTGCCGACCGCTGCCACCCGGATCGGACGTAGATCAAAACGGCCCCTCTGCCCCCGTTTTTTAAATCTCTGATATTCATGTATATTATAAGAGGCAATTTTGATTTACATCATATGAACAACATATCTAACGTATTTCATGTTTATTACTCATTGCAAATGCCAAGTTTAAAAATTTCAAAACTCAAATATTTCATCATACTTATTTTAACAGAGACATGCATTCGATTATCATTTATATACCTAGTCTTATCAAGGATCTTTTCCAAATTCTTCTTATCCAGTTCTACATCGCGAACTGTCTCTTCAATATCCAGCACTCCATTCTCTTGCTTCCCATTTTCCACTTTAGATGGCGTTGGTTGTTTCACAGCCATCTGCTTGAGCGCGCGCTGGTATTCGTAAGGGAACACTTTGATAAACTTCTTGGCTGGCTCTGGCCACGTTTTGAGCAACTCTTGAGCTATTATTGAGCTGAAATAAATAATAATAATTATAGCATTATAAATCGTATACAGATACGAGTATATGCTTAGTTTTTTTTTTAACTGAATTTAAATTAATGAACTGGATTGTGACTACATATAAATCCTCAAATTTCATTATATAAATAATATTAAATTAAATAACTTTCAATACTCGTAATACCATTAATAGGGAATATGCACGTGACACCAAAATGGACAAAATATTTTTATTTGTAATTTTTATTGCTAAAAAAAGATACCCATACAATTATTTTTGAAATGTATTATAATTTAATAGTGAAATTTAATCATCAAAAATTGGCTTTTTTAAGATTCCCTCGCAAATTTCTAAAACGCAACGCTATTGGTTGAATAAAACGTGACGTCAACCTACACTGTCAAGAGTGTCAACAAGTTGTGTGTGTTTGTAATATTTAGTTTCTGGTGATTATTTGTTTCATTTTAAGTTAATAACTAATACGTTTTCAGTGTTAAATTATTAAATTCCCGTGTAGAAAGACTCAACACAATGACTGAATATACTTTGTCAGGTGCAGTTTTGATATGATTTGGGCACAAAGGAACGGCACAATATTTATAATAAGTTTTTATTGGCTTTTCCATGGTAATAAGTTAATTTATATCACTCACTTTTTTAACTTTCACAAACTTTGTGAACTTCACTCCGTTGTTGACATCGAATTCGTCTGAAAGTGTAATCTGACGTCACAAAATAAGCGCGCCAAAATGGACGTGTTCAAATTGCCCCAAAATGATAGTGATATTAATAATTATTTTTTTTGCTTAACGGTTTATATTTCAGATGTGTTATATTTATTTTTGGTAATGTAATAACTAGTAGAATCGTTTAAAAAAATAAAAAAAATACATGCATATTCCCTATTAAGGAGTAGAAAAATGTGTAATATACAACACTTACCCGGTATATTCAACAAATTCTTTTAGTAATTGCTCGACATAATCTAAGTCGTCTTGCAGCTCTAACGGAAGCAGTTCTACCATTTCGTGGTTACACTTGGCCGAGAACGATCCGTCGATATCGTACACGTAGGCTATACCACCTGTGGGTAGCATTAGTACAGGTTAAACAAAAATTTATAAAAATAATATTATACATATAAAGATGAAGCTGATGATTTAGCTACATGCAAATTATTACTGATTTGTATTAAACTCGAAAACTTTTTTAATAGGTTAGTTGACTCAATTTGAAAACTTGGGTGTACTATTTTTATAATAACTCAATTCTTCTGAAGGTAAGGAGTGAACTTCGGGAAAACGTTGGTTAGAAGTAAGTGTTGATAAAGAGAAAATCAATGAGTAAGTGTGTGTGAGTTAGTGCATGAGAGAAGGAAAGAGCGAGTGAGTGGGCATGCAGTTCGTGAGCGTGGAGGTAGTTACCGCTCATGCCGGCGGCGAAGTTCCGCCCGGTGAGGCCGAGCACGAGCGCGGTGCCGGCCGTCATGTACTCGCAGCCGTGGTCGCCCACGCCCTCCACCACGGCCACGCACCCGCTGTTGCGGACGCAGAACCGCTCCGACGCTATGCCCCTGCATCAGACCACCGACCATGTTTATACTCACTCAAAATAACCACTTATCGTTTTTAATATAATTCATCATATTTTTTACATACAAAAAAAGCATTTAAAATGTAAGCAACATTTTTATTTTATTAATTGGATACGGCATTAACAAATAATTCTTATATGGTTATATGGAGAGATGTAAGGTTATCAGACTTAAATAATATATAATTTTAATAACTCTGGAGTTATGATCATTTGTCGAAATTTATATTTTTCCTGAACAAAAAAAAGGCGTAAATTTTTAAGAGATTATCAGAAGATGAATCTGTTAAAAGGACATTTAAATAACAAACCTGAAGTAAGCGCGTCCGGAGGTAGCTCCATACAAACAGACATTGCCAACGATCACATTTAAGTGAGATTCGAACGGCGATACTTTAGGAGGGTAGATAATAATTTTGCCGCCTGACAGACCTTTGCCTGAAATAAATCAACACATTATTTTACATGTAAAGTTCTCTTAACACGCGTACTTTAAATATTCTCTGACAAAACTATATTGCTTACAATATTTACGTTTAAATAAAACACGTAGTAATAATATAGTTCATGGAGTGAACTGTTGTATTTTGTGTAGATCTAAACACAATTCTTTTCGAGTTCGAAAGTTTTTTTTACGAAGTCTCAAGATTTCCATTTGATGGGGTAGAAAAGATCACACTACTGTTACATCGTGTCGTCTAACAGTAGTGTCATTTGCCAACCTACTAGATTATAAAATACCTTTACATAAGACTACAACTTTCTCTTACAAATTTAATAAAAGACAATCCTTACTTGTATTGTAAATATAAAACAAGTTTATTTCGTTTGTTACGCTTTTAATTATTAACTTCTCAATCAATCATCGTGAGATAACCTATCTTCTAAAAAAAAGCGTATTATTTTCCTGGGATAATAAATACTCGTATACATACGAGTGAAACCGGTATTAAAAGCTAGTAAAAATATAGCTTCCTCACCGACATAGTCGTTAGCATCACCCTCTAGTGTCACAGTGATACCCTTGGACAAGAAGGCGCAGAAGCTCTGTCCAGCTGATCCAGTCAACGATATGTTTACGGTTGTACCGTCGGGCAAACCCTCGTCACTGTATTTCCTGTCAACGCAAAAGTTTTCTTTAAGATTCTAAATACTTCATAAGAATAAAATGCACATTAAAACAAAAGAATTGTACTTGTGGGCTACAATATTACACAAGCATTTAAGAGATGGTTAATCTTGTAGTCTCAGAAGACGTATTTCTGATGCTTTTTTTATTTAAATTAGCATTCTGCTGTCGTCTATGGGTGGAAGATCCTGAATTTATACAGATGACTTCAGCCTGGATCCATAGCGCCTTTTAGTTTTCAAAATTCAACAAATCATGAGTATAGAGCTAGGTTTAGCTAAAGATTGTGTTGTTTTTACACTGTTATTATATTTATGTTGAAAAGGTTTTAAGTAGAATGGTTATATCGAACTTACATAGCAATATGATAAGACAGAGTAGATGTGAAGGCTCGGTCCTCATTAGTGATCCTCATAGAGATGTCTACGTGTTTCTCAGTTCCGTCTATAATGCCCGCGCATTGCTCGATCAGCTGGTTGTCGAGACGTTTTTCCAGTTGGAAGTCCTGTTAATTAGATATATTAGCTTAATCTTCGTAACCTAATTATTCATATTCATATTCGTGCGTAATTTTCAAGATTAGCGTAAAGTATTTTTTTATTCTTCTTGAATAGTTTTTTTTTTGGATGATGAGTTAAGGATTCTTAACACGTGAAAATATAAAACAGATATAAATGAAAAAAAAAATGAATATATTTAAAATTCTTTCATTTGTTTTCCTGGATTGCTTAATGAATATGAAAATGTTTGCTATAGTCCATCAACGTCGTGCGCGACCGTCCTGCGGGGTGACAGACGGTGGCGGGGACGAGGTACTCAAGATGTCAGCGGGTAGTGGGTGGTGTAGCGGGGAGGGAAACGCTTCTCTTCGTGTGTAGCCGTGTGCTAGAATGACGCGCAACCTCGCCCCCGCCACTGTCTGTCACCCGCGGGACGGTCGCGCACGAGATTGCCCGGTTATAATAGCATTTTTTTCTTAAAATTCATTAATACTTCTATTTGTATATATGTATTTATATCAGAAGTCTAGTACCCATGGTACAAGCTCTGCTTAGTTTGGGAGTAGATGGCGTTGTGTGAATGTGTTAGAATATTATTATTATTTAATCGAAATCAATCGTTTTAATAACTATTACGTTTCTTGTAAGTCTTAGTGTGATTCCTAAGAGTGTTCTCAAAAATCAAACGACATTTACCTGTGTCTTGGAGCCTCCAATAATATTAACCCCGGGTCGCATGTGCAGCGCGTTCTTGAGTATGAGGCTGAGGTTGAGCAGGCGCGCCTTGGGGTTGTCGTTGTTCTCCCGCACCTTGAGCAGGTCGGTGCGTCCGATCAGCTCCTGGAAGCGCCGCACGCCCACCGCGGCCATGTGCGAGCGGACCTACACCACACAGTACATACCGATTAATACTTACTTACAAGTTTCAAGTTCTTCCTCAACATGTCTAATGACTCTAAATATGACAGTTCACTTAAAGTAGAACTATAAATTTTTTGTCTGCCTATACAGTCTTCATTATTCAAACTATTTAAGAAAAATAACTTAAGGTTTCTTATTATAGAAAAAGAGTCCCAATGATTATAGCTTAATAAAATGTACGTAAGTAAAACTGTAAAATTTATGTCATTCTATGATACATTCAAATTCGTTTATTATCTATGGCAAGCTAACTCTGCATTATTTTACTTTTATTTTATAAGTAATTAAATATATTTTTAAATTGAATAAAAATACCTCTTCTGCCAGCATGAACAGATAGTTGACAACATGTTCAGGTTTGCCAGCAAACTTCTTACGTAGAACGGGATCTTGTGTCGCGATGCCCACTGGACACGTATTCAGATGACATTTACGCATCATTGTGCAACCTGTAAAAAGACAATATTGTAATAAAAAATGATATGTAGGTTAATTTTAGTCTTTTGTAGGATTTATATATTTCTTCGATATAATAATAACTACCAAGAGCAATAAGTGGTGCAGTACTGAAACCGAACTCATCAGCTCCAAGTAACGCCGCTACCATCACGTCGAAGCCAGTCCGAATCTGACCGTCAGCTTGTACCACCACTCTGACATGTAAAGCAAACAAAAATAAATATTAATTAAGACAATCAAAGTAATTATAATAAATGATGATGATAAGAGAAATGTAAGAAAATAGAGTGTCTGATTATTTTAGAGTATCCAAGTTCGAATCTATAATTAAAATAATTTCCGCTAGTTTATTTATACTATAACGATAAATTAATAACAATAATTTATTTCAACATGAGATTATAATGAAATTTATGAAGTGACAAAGAATAAAATAAAACTTTCCATCAGGTGACCCACCCGTCTGCTCGTTTGCCCCATATTCCATTTAAAAAAAACTGACTTCTCGAAAAGAATTAGAAAATTGATCAGTTTGTTGAAGAGGTAATGAAAGTATAAAACTGTTCTGTATAGCAATGAGATCTGACATGTAACAACATTGAAAATTATATAACGTGAAGGCACTACAAATATTACCTGGATCTGAGATCGTTAAGGACGAGTACTTGGTGAGTCTCAGCAACCCCCAGTTCCCACGGGAGCCCAGCGCTCTTGATGCCTGTCCAAGAGCTAGCGCCGGTACCGCCGTCGTGGCCTGAGATCACAATGTGCTCAGCTTTGCCCTAAAATAATAATAATAACCTCAGTTATTACATTACCGCCGTTTTGCACTTTCAGTCTTAGCTTAAAGGCAGTTTTATTTTTGATTGTATACTATTTTACTGATATTGATAGTGAACCATTATATTGAAGCTGACGTTGGAAACTAACACCAGGCAATCAGCATGTTTATATTTATCATTTGTGGTACAAATTCCCTTACCTTAGCTACACCTGATGCTACAACTCCAACACCGACTTCAGACACCAGTTTCACTGATATCCTAGCTTTTGGGTTAGCGCACTTTAGGTCATAGATGAGCTCTGCCAAATCTTCTATGGAGTAGATGTCGTGATGTGGTGGCGGTGAGATAAGACCGACGCCGGGAACTGAACAACGGGTCTTTGCAATGTCTTCTGTTACTTTGTAACCTAAACAAAAAGAAAAGAGGAGTTTAGTATATTCAGTGCCGGTGGTATGTGCAGTGGGTCGTTTTTCCTTCTAGATTTAACAAAACATAGAAACAATATTTTTTTATATTATTATTAAATGATTTTTCTCGCCTGTTTACCAGGCTCACCTGATGGAAAGTGCCTAAATTGTTCCATTGTGATTGGTTGTGCGAGGCAAAGGGTCCGCTCAGATTAAATAAAAGAAAAAAATTGTAAGTAAATAAATTGTTTATTATTAACGTACCCGGCAGCTCGCCTCCCTCGCCCGGCTTGGCTCCCTGCGCCATCTTGATCTGCAGATCGTCTGCGTGAGCTAGATAGGACGCCGTCACACCGAAGCGACCAGAAGCTACTTGCTTGATTGCCGAACGCTTGTTATAATCTGGATCCTAGACGAAAACATGTAGAATTGTTTTTTTAGTTAGCCACTGATTTGTTAAAAAATCAACTACGAATTTTGAATTTTGAAAAGATCGAAATTTCTAAAATATCATCAATCAATCATTCTATGACTGCACGCATGGCGTAGTGGCTTTAGCGGTCATCTCGCCGCTTCCTACTGCGCTGAGTGTTTTGGGTTCGATTCATACATGGGACATCACTTTGCGAGATTCACAAATTGTTTTTCTGAGTCTGGGTGTTCTTTGTGTCCGTTTCATGTATGTTTGTAAAGTCCCCCGCGACACAGGATATATTCCTAATGCGGGCGTTGTCTTTTTAAATATATAACTTAGCTTAGTTGGAATTACCATTCATAATACCGTTCAGTAAAATGAATGACATTGCATTTGTCACATTAGTTCTGTAAAAAAAACTATACCAAAAAATTGAGCTGTACTTTTTTTAAACTCAATAAAGAATATCTTGTTAATATGCCGTTTGAGCGCATACTGTGTCACGCTGACTTAAAAGAGTTTATTAGATCTAAGTACTAACCTGGTTAAGATATCTGTCAGCGTTTTCACCACCCTCTCCAGTATTAGACTTTCCTCCGATACGGTTCATAGCAATAGCCAATGTTGTATGAGCCTCCAGAGAAATCGAACCGAAAGACATGGCACCTGAAATATAGAAAAATGATTTTAGACTAACCAGTTTTGATAAGAAAGCCTGCATTTGAAGACACGTGTTTAAACTCGCAGGTTTTGTTTTACACATAATTTCGATCCACCAATATATATACTCGAGTTTCTTTCTTGATTGTTATAGACATAGAATATAGAGATATTAGTAATAATAATAAGAATAAACCACTGCTTTACCAGTGGCGAATCGCTTGACGATGTCAGCGGCGGGCTCGACCTCGGAGAGGGGGATGGGCTCGTCCAGCTTCACCAGCTCCAGCTGCCCGCGCAGCGTGCACGCGCGGACCGACTCCAGCGTGCTCTCCCTGCAACACAACCACACCACTTTTCAGATGACATCCAACAGTACCGTAACGCTCATCATGTTTTATAAACCTATAATATAATCTTTTCAAACAAAGATTATTTGTCATTTTTCGAATTTTATAATTAGGATTTATACAAGTATAGTACTTTCTATTAATTTTTTCTCCTTGATACTTTGCATCTCCTACATAAAAGTTTTTACGGAAACTACATTGTTTCAGATACATGCCTAGATTTAAACCTTACACAGCAAATAAGCAGCTCCTTTCCTGCTAAGTTGGCATTAAATGGAATTTCTTTTAGGTAAATCCTTGGCTTCTTATTCGTAATTAGGGTTTATCAACCGATCATAACATTACATGCCTCAATTATGTTTAAATTAAAAAAAAAGTAACGAATTAATTGGTTTTTACTATTATTCAAACGGTAATATCTTTTTTATAATGATAATATTGTGGTTTGAAACATCTATACCACAGCACTATCTAAATCGAGACTAAATATAACTTGCAGAATAAGATTTTTAATAATATGTATATATCTATCCATACAAATAAGTGAAATTTAAGTGTATGTTTGTAATGTCAAAACAATAGGTTTTTTTCATGCTCAGGCGGTTATGTGCATGATGCCTATGCTAATTTAAATATTTATTGTCTGTCTGTCGGTCTACTTGTTCGGTTCAAAACAACGGGAAAAAAACCCTATAAACTTTTGCCCAGAAGATACCCGTAATAATTACCTGTATTTGTCATAAGCGGAGGAGCTTTTGTTGAGAGTAGCCTCTTGCAGGTTGGCAATAGACATGGGATCGTTGATATGCTTCTCACCACCAGCCCGCCAGTGGTAATTACCGGGGTTCCTAAAAAATCACATTAAATATATTTTATAAATATAAATGTCTTTGAATTAAGGATTTTGGAGTTCCCGGTAACAGCTTCAGTTGCAGGTATGCAACCGTAACGTGCTTCAGGTAGTATTCTTATTTAAAATTTTAGTGGGAAATTGTTTAATACACCTTAGTCTACCCTGTATATATATATATATATGTATGTATAGGTGTATGTATATATGTATGTATAAATAATTTATGTTAAATTACCAAGTTCTGGGCATTCACAGATTTATTTAACTGGTTGAAACTTACTCAGACAATTTGTCAAGCTCATTAGGTACTTATCAATCACGAGTAGTGAAAATACCTATAATATTATGTTTATATGACTAGGGTATGCTGTACCTTAAGACCAACGCGTCTTTAACATCACCATATGTCAGCGCATGCCGTTCAAATATTTCCTTGGACAATATTTCGAAGTTCACACCACCTGGAACAATGGATATAGCTTTCGTTTATATCAAAAATAGCAGAAAGATAAGTACAATCAATAAAGTAGGAGAATTTCATTAAAAAACGATAAGAAATAAAGGAAATGACTATCGTGAGTCATGAATTTGCAGTGTTAAATTTTATTACTTTATATTTTTCAATGGTATAGAAAAAACAAATAGGGTGTGAAAATAAATTAAAAAGAAATATAGTACATACTATTCCCGAAATATATCTGAATCGACTGATAAAATCCATATAAAGCCCAAGGGAAACCACAAGCGATTCCAAGTATAATATTTATTGGACAACTTCTTGCTTTAACTATACTCGTCAATAAAAGTTTCGTAATTGAAGATGAAGTACTAATAAACTAGATATTTATAATAAACGTACTAAATAAAGTGATATTAAGGAATGTGCTAACTGAGGAATGAAACCGATACTCACCAATTCTGGACTGTGTTCCTCTGAAACACTTGTCAATAACTTCCTCGCTAAGTCCAACAGCTTCAAATATCTGAGCACTTTTATACGACTGTAGGGTACTGATTCCCATTTTAGCCATGACTTTGGCTAAACCAGTTTCGATAGCATTTTGGTAGGCTTTATAGATATCGTCATCGGTCAGGTTTTGGTCTATAATGTTGTCGTTTCGTAGAGAGAATGCTAGTTCAAAGGCTAAGTAGGGACAAATGGCATCTGCACCATAACCTGCAAAAACAAAGACAAAAATAAAGTACCTTTATTGTTTTTAAAGACAACCTATATATATAGACAATATATCCTGTGTTGCGGGGGACTTTACAAACATTGACACAATGAACACTCAGACTCGGAACAACAAATGTTGTCCCATGTGTTTATCGAACCCACAACACTAGGAAGTGGCGAGGTGACTGCAAACCACTACGCTATCCGTGCAGTCAAGTTGTAGTGAGAACTGCTTTAAATGCTACAAAAAAGTTTATATGAGATTGTTTAAATTAAAGATAATGAAAGAATAATGGATGTTACCTAGTAGGACGCACATGTGGTGAACTTCTCTAGCCTCAGCCGTTTCCAGGATAATGCCGACCTTCATACGTTGCCGGGTCTCGATCAAGTGGTGGTGAACAGCACCTGCAATTTTAATTTTAAATCAGTCATCTAATTTTAGCCTATGTGAATGCTTTGTTATAACACATATACTTGTAAGTACAATATAAGATTCAGTTTTAATTTGCAATTTAAACACAGAGTGGATAATTATCAATAGCTGACAACCGACGCAGATTAAGAGATCGATATTAAAAAAATAAACTTTTTTATGAACCTATATGTTTACTGACTTTTATAGTACTTAATTAATTAATTAAGAGTAAAAAACCTTTAAAAAAAGGTTTCATTTAAATGCATTAAAAATAATAAAATAAACTTTTACTAACAACTTATAACGTCATTACATGATTTATACGACATAAGAGTTTGTCGCGTCATTCAAATTAAATGTGTACACAAAATTTCAGATTAATTGGTTGAAGATATCTGCTTTAAAATTGGGTTGCAAGATTCCACCCGAACTCACATAGTTTACATACATTGCAAGTTAAATAAAAGTTTGTAAAAACAAGTGAGCCTTATGCTTATGATGTTTGACATCTGTCATCTAACACCGCGAGTGATCGTTAAGTTATCAAATGGAGTAACGAAACCTTCTCCGGTTTCCTGTGACATATTTCCATTTTTCTTTATGAAATCACTCCCTCAGTGAGAGAAATGATGAAAAATATTATGAATATATTAAGAACTAGCTGACCCGCGCAACTTCGTCTGCGTCACTCAATAGTAATAAATTTTCTCCGTTTTCAAAACATCTAACACTGAAAGAATTTTTCAAATCGGACCAGTAGTTAATGAGATTAGCGCGTTCAAACAAACAAACAAACTCTTCAGCTTTATAATATTAGTATTATATTGGTCAGTCGGTGAATCCACCCGTCGTGTCGGATGGAGCGAGTGAGCGAGTGAGCGAGTGAGAGAGTGAGAGAGTGAGATAAGGGTGTGCGGTTACCGAGCGCGAGCAGCGAGCTGACGGGCACGCGCGGCGGGCCGGCGGCGCGGTCGGAGAGCACGAGCAGCTGGTAGCCCGCCAGCGCCGCCGCGTGCGCAGAGCTCGAGATGTGCGTGAGCGCGCGCTCCAGCCCGCCCGGCCCGTCCGACAGCGGGAACGTGCAGTCCAGCACCATCGTCTGAGGGATTACATATACGTGCTCAGTAACTAACGCACTCTTCATATTAATAATAGCGTTTTTATTGTGTAGGGGATAAAAACAGACCAGTTACCTGACGGTAAGTACCTACCGCCGCTTATGACAATCTGCATCTCCAGAGACAAGGTGCCTCGCTCCCCCAAAGTTAATAGCGAACGAGGGGTTTGCGCCTCCGATAAACACACTAAAGCCACGACAAATGGATTTTTATCAAGCAGTTTTATCCCTTCAGTCAAACCAGCCCATTTGTACCAGAACATGGCTCTCTTACTAAAAATTTACTAGTTTGGCTTTTTTTATTAGCATTAATATCTTTCTCGCAACAATCCGATGCAATTTTAAATTTGTCTAAGTGTGATTAAATTACATGTAAAGTCATTATCAACAGACTTTAAAAGTCCAATGACCAGTATTGCAGTAAGCCTCTCTTTAAAAAGGAGGTAAAATATTTTTGGTAATTTTTTACCTATCTATCTTTTTCAATGAATGACTATTCTTGGTTTGTAATTATATGCGACAAATTATTTAAAGAAATGACTTATGTAATTAAATCGTTCAATTTTCACAAACACAAACAGTAAAATGAATTCGCACAAAAAAATCAAGATCATCATAGTTATCACTAGTAGTTTATGTTTTCTTCGGATGGCGTAGTGGTTTAAGCGGTCGCCACGCCGCTTCCTACTACGCCGAGTGTTGTGGGTTCAAACCCCACATGGGACGACACTTTGTGTGATCCACAAATTGTTGTTCTGAGTCTGGGTGTTCTTTGTGTCCGTTTCATGTATGTTTGTAAAGTCCCCCGCGACACAGGATTTATTCCTAATGCGGGAGTTGTCTTTTTTAAGAAAAAAAAAAAATATATATATTGAGTCAAATACCTTCCAACCACGGTGCGTAGTATGTTTGAGCGCGTGTAGGTCAGGCAGGGACAAGATGGGCTGCGGCAGGAATAGGCGGTGAACGAACTCGGCGCTCGGCTCGAGAATATTTGGGGCCGGCCCGATGGGACACAGCAACGACATTACTATCTTCTCTCTAACGTACAAAAGAGTAATAGTTAAGAAATAAGTACTTGTCTGTATTACCTAACAAGTATAATCAATAATAAGGAATGAAAGTTTTTTACGGGAAAACTTCTTTAGGCGTGTTAAACATTTTTGAACAACAACAACAAAAGAATGTAATTTTTGAGACGGGCAAAAACCATTGAATTCGCGACACTGTTACCGTTACCGACACCTCTGTATATTAGTATCTACATATATTGGCCCCGTTTACACGAGTTGAGTTTGTCTTAGAGGTATGAGTGCGCTCTATTCTTCCAGGACGTATACTCAGGTGTCAATGTCAATGTTCTACAGATTGGTTGTGCGAGGCACGAGCGAACGCGTTAGTAGTAGATAATATCTATATCATTTCAGTCAGGTATCACACTTTCTATATCATATTATATGCCTATATTAGGCAAAGTGTGATACCTGACTGAAATGAACTATGTTTGGAATGTTTGCATTTCGAATGCGAAATATATTCGGTATTATAATTATAGTAGTAGTTTAACTAGAACTTTGTGCGTGTTTTTTGTCACCATCTAGGTCAAGATCAATAGAAGATCTATTACCCAATGCCAAAGAACGACGTTACTTATTAATGATCCCTTTAAATTGTTATGACAATTAAATTGCACTTTATTGTTTGGTTTTAAGAGGTGTTTTTAACCGTCAACAATTTATTTATTTATTTATTTATTTATTCAGTAACAATAAAAATTGTGTTTGAAATGCTTACATGTTAACTTAAGTTTCTAACGAATTTAATTTATATAATGCAATACAAGTAGATAAATACAAAAACAAACACATGCAGTCAAAAATTCAATGTCATTAAAATACTGTCAAAATTGTGGTTAGGTAATTTGAAGTTGTCTCTGGGTTTATTATGTAATATACCAATATGAATGTCGATAAAATACTAGGGGGGATACAATTTATAAAATTTGCAATTTTTCCACATCCATGAATAGACCATTCACTCAATGCTCAAAATCCGCCACATTGTTCAATGTGATCTCTTTGTCAGAAATTTACACGCAAATGGGGAGTCATTTATGATTATATTTATAAATTGACTCTGAACGGGAGCCGGATGCTATAACCACGTATACCCAACCGAAGCTTCAAGTGACAGTATAGTTATTTTCAAAACAATAAATACCTGAATGGATCGATAGGTGGGTTGGTGACTTGTGCGAACAGCTGTTTGAAGTACTCATATGGCAGAGGTTGAAACTGCGAGAGACAGGCCAAGGGCGCGTCGTTACCCATACTGCCGAGGGCTTCCTTCCTGCAATTTTACATATGGAGTCAATTGAGATCTATTTAAACCTAATTCCAATTTGAGTAACAGGATTATACTCACTTGTTTTGTATCATCGGTACCAATAACATATTGATAGATTCTATAGTGTGACCGAACAAGCCCAGCCGTTTGTCAACAAGGCCTGCGATCATGGAACCTTCAGCACCATGGCCGTTAGATCCATTTGTTCCGTTAGCTGACACCACGGAGCTACTTCCATTCTCCGGTGCTATGGATTTGTGGATGTCTTCCATGGTTATCTAAAATGATTGAATATATTTTTAATATTTATTGTATTGTTATTATTCGATACATTGTTCCGTAACTTCAATGTTTCGAAACATAGATGCCGACAATTACATAGTAGCGTCTTGTACTAAATACGTGTTCGATTCTTGCCCTTGACCCGATGTGAACCAACCCTTAACGCAAAAATTTACTATCATTTACAATAAAAAAGTATAGGTTGAGGCCCTATCACAAACATGGCTATTTGTTTGTTCATATTTTTATTCCCATAATTACATTTTTAGAGAAGGTCAGTTCCTATGCTTTTTTGAATACATAAAAATCACTTACAAAGAAAGCATCAAAAAAGTTCAAAACAAACCAAGCTTCTAAAATCACAATTTGTTTGTAAGCAATAAATGTTATGAAATAACTCAATGCAATAAGACCATTATTCCTAAATGATTTTCCCTTCTGAAGGCAAGTAATAACCTTAGAAAATGATTGGTACATGTTGTTTTAGTCTTTATATGATTAGTATGTTCTATGCATTTATTGACTTTAGTCTGTGATTCATTGTGTCACAACCCTTTTCATCCCGTTTGTGTCGTAAGAGCCGACTAAGGGAGCAAACTACGCAGGACAACAGCAAAGAGAAGGGAAGCTTGAAACAAACCCTATACCAACCCGTCTGGCCATCGTGGTATCCTAGGCCGAAATCTCCTTACTAAGGAGAAGCCTATGTCCAGCAGTGGACTATTAGTATTACTAAAGGCTGTTTATGATTAAGTCAGTAACCGTACAACTACCATCCTGATGACCATAAACAGTGCTAAGTTCTATGCAATTAATTTTGTTGCTACACAAGCAACAATAGACTTTTGTATATCTAAAAAAATACTCCTGCCAAGTTGTAATGATCTTATCGGCCTAAACATATATTTACGATACAACGAGGATAAGTGAATAAAAAAAGGTTTCAGCTGTTAGAAAAGAGCATAGTATATAAAACTGTAACAGGAGGAATTATTCCTAGTGCGGAAGTGTTCGATAAAAAAAAGCCATGCAGTATAACCCTATGTAGTTACTTTAAATAAAACGTTTAAAAATTGCTGATAAGTAAAAAAGCTTGTTTTGCAAATCTATTGAAGCAAAAATATGTGTGTTGTCACTTTTTGTTATAGCGAGAAAAACAGAAACAGCATTTGCTCCGTAGTATCTGGTGTACTAAATCATGTCTATAGCAAATAGAAATTCGTCACTCCCCATGCCAATAAACTCACCATCTGATTTATTTATATAATGTGGCCGGACGGTATGCATAGAAAGAGAAAAAAATGTTTTGAAATTTTATATATTCAGTGACTGAGTTATCATATATCAGTAAGGTTTGTTCCATATGCCGTCTAGATAGACAGACAGTAGATAGATTTTTAGTATGTGTCGCGGATATACCTATACCTATACCACACGGCAGTCTGATTCCAAACTAGGAAGAGCCTGTACTATGGTAACAAAAAAGCTGATAAACATACTTATTTATTTTAAAAAATTACATACATATTATGGTTAAATTACACCCAGACCTATAACACAAGATCGTGCTCATCACATAATTATTCGTTTTGGGTGGGAATCGAACCCACAACGTAAGCCTTAGCAGTCGGGATCACTAACCATTAGAGCACCACGGTCGTCATATATAGTTTTTACTCGTGTAAGTACTAGTAGAGGTATTGATCGCCACTGCTACTGAGCAATGTAGTTTATCTGACAGTAGCAAAAACAGTTAAAGGTATAGAATGTATAGCTTAGAATTTCTTGAGATGATGTAAGACGGCTTGTACTAGTCATAAACAAGGTAGTGGATATGATTAACGTTGTACTACAGGTAAAGAATGCACAACTATGCGCAATTTGATAACATCACAGAAGATACGTAAACTTGGTGAATTTACCGCGTGGAATGATAATTTTTTCACATGGTTTTGAGCAGGAAATAACTCCAAAGATAGAAATCGAAAAGAGACAATAAGAAAACATTCAATAAATTATTCATGGGCTAAAATCAATAAACTAATAGGATTTTCCTTACAACAAAAACTTCGCATTTTCTAATACCAAACGTCGGATTTTCTAATACCAATATTTCTCGACATCAAAAAGAAACTAAAATAAGGTTTGTCTGTTTTCATCTCTCATCTCTCATCTCTGCCTTTTATGTATTACCATGATGACTAGTTGGTAACCGTACATCCTGGGGAAGGAGCTAAGAACATAGATGTTCACCTTATCTTGGAGCCACTCCGAGTGAGGTCGACTGCGCGCGATCTGCATCTTAAATTCCACATCCTGAATGATTTTCTTGTCTTCTGTGTCGACTAACAACATACGACCGGGTTTTAGACGACTCTGAAAACATAATGATTATTTATTAGATACATACTTATTTTGAATTGAATTAGAGGAAACGGTTATAAAATTAAATTTATTTAAGCTTAGCTGAGCTTTCTGTATAATTATATTTATAAATTATTTATTTTTTTAAATTCTAAATTATTATATTATATTCGATTTTTTGTCGTTCGAGGGTGACAGTGAATTTTACGGTTATTATTTAATAGTCAGATTTTTTATTGTGTTTTTAGTGCGATTCTTGACCATATTTTGTCTTCACAACATTAAGCCCTAGGATTTTTAGAGGCTGGCCTAGTGTTTATATAATCCAGGTGTTTTCTCCAAGACCAGCCACATCACTTGAGAAAACAGGCTGTAAATTTTACTACCTTAAAATTGACTTTAACAGCTTTAACGCTAGGGGGGAAAAAAGAGTTCTAATTATGAGTAAGAAAGGTGATCACGTTATTCTGAGTTACACGTTATTGTAAGTGACACAATAGCTCTACTTGATTAATAAATTGAAAATGAAAATACAGGCTTCATCAACAGCCTTTACTAGTTCACTCCTTCAGATAGGCCTCTCTTTAGAAAGAAGGTTTTATAAATAAACTAATACAGCCTTACCTTATGTATAACCTTTTCAGGGTCAACATCATACACGCCGACTTCGGACGCCATTACGAGTATATTCTCATTGGTCACATAAAAACGAGACGGACGCAGACCATTCCTGTCCAATATGGCCCCTGTGAGAATGATGAACAAATTTTAATTTTTGTAAATCACTCAACTATGACTAATGATTCTGACAAGTATATTATTATACCGAGAGTTTGTAAGTACTATCAAAACAGTTCGTTTAAAATGAATTTAAGGGAGGTATGTAATATCTTTTTCATGATTTATTACACTTGAGATTATTTTAGGGTGGAACTCTAAACGAATGACAGCTCTAAAAGGCTCCGTATGTAGGCTATCGACGTAACGTGTACAATGTACCGTGTAATGAGAACACACTAAATGTTTTTAAATATATTGTTTTAAACCATCCGGTCACATTCAAACTTAATTCAAAAGCATACCTACTGAAGATAATTTATACCGAATTTAGCTCAAAACAAAATTTTACTTGTTAAATTTCAGAATCTCATTTTTTTTTGTTCTTGGTTGGTAAAAAATATTTATAGCTTCACATTTTCTAATTTTATTGGTTGAGAGGGTGCATAAACATTAATATTGTTTTTAATAAAAACAAATAAACAGACCATTATTTTATATAAATAAAACTCAATAAAAGTTTCTATATCATTCGTTAAAAGCGAACTCATGAAAGACTTTTATTTAAAAAGTCGATATTCAGCAGTGAACAAATTAGTCAAAGGTTCATCTACTAACCAATATAACGTCCATCAGTGAAGGAGATCAATGCAGGTCCATCCCACGGTTCCATGGCAGAGGAGGCCCACTGGTAGTAGTCTCTCTTTTCCTTCGGCATGGTGACGTCATTCTGCCACGCTTCAGGCACCATGGTCATGACAGCTTCTGGGAGTGAACGCTGTCCACAGTGTACGAGGAACTCAAGGACACAGTCAGCCGATCCAGAGTCGGAGAGATTCGGCTCCACGACTGGGTATAACTTCTTCAAATCTGTGAAGCATAAAGTTTAAAAGTTGTATTATGTGAACATTGGAGAGGTTGGCCCCTCCGAAATCCACACGTGAGTATAACTGTTTGGATCCAACTCTAAATTCAAGGCAATACCTAACCAAATACATGTAGGGACAGGGTCCCACTATGTAATACCCTTACATCAGGTACATACCTTATTCTTTTACCTTTTTTATTGTTACAACGAATATGAAACAACTTTAAAAACAAAAGTGATGTGATGACTATCACGTGCACACGCATCTAACCAACAAAATAATAATATGTTTTAGCACAGGTTTCGTACGTTAGACATGGTTTACAAATATATATTTCGATGCTATAGTTTTTTTGGTACAACAGCTAATTGCTGATAAGAATAGCTCTCAGTTATAGTAGTTTTATCCATCCAAGAGGCATCTACTTTTATAAGTAGATGCCTCTTGGATGGGGTTATCCCCAATCCAATCTTCGAGGCTTCAGTGATATGTATATCTATAATATATTGTAGTCTGTCGAAATTGACGAAACACTGACGAAATTGTTTCTATGTTAATAACTTACCCTCTCCAAAAAGTTCACTTTTCATGACACCTTCGCGAGCCTTCATCAGGTTCACATTACCTCGCAACGTATTTATCTCGCCATTGTGCGCAAGAACTCTAGAAAAACACAATTATTTTATAAAGACATATTATAGAACATTGTGGCTTAAAAGTTGACATGATTAGGAACAAAATTAAGTTTATATAGTTTCGAGTTGTAGAAATAATTACTGTAGAATGAATGCTAAAAAAGTGTGTGAGGTAAACGTGACTAAGGAAGCATCATACTCTGACTAGATTGCCGACTTACGTGTCAAACAGGATGGATTGTTGTGTATCGTGTTAAATCTGACATTACAGAGGCCGCATATGTAGTACGTATGGAAGGACACACAAAAGTGATCTCTGCCTTCCCGAAGGGAGAAAGCAGTGTATATAGCATTTAATGTTCAAAAATAAGACACACTAACTCACTTCTAAAATCAATATATTTCAGCGTTTATTTCATTTAATATAATTGTGATTACATCCCTATAATTGATTAAAGATTTATTATAGGCAAAGACTGCAAAATACAATATAAAGAGACCTTTCTAACATTAATTTATTTCTAATTAAGGTTAATAGCTAAGACGCAGTATATGCTACTAACCTTAACGGATGTGCTCGTTCCCAACTCGGGAAGGTATTGGTCGAGAACCTGGTGTGCACAAGTGCCAGATATGTCGTGAAAGCCGGATTGCTCAAATCCTTGAAGTATTCCTAAGGAAAAAATATTTCATGTAAGTAAAGCAACGTTGACGTCATCAACGTCTACCATTACGTACGTACAACCAGTACGTATACCATTCACATCTCACAATACAATCATACATATATATAACTATACTTATTTCAGAAACATGTTCCAGATTTGTACAATGAGTAAGTCCACTCATTGTACAATATATGATTCTTCTGTTCATGGCGAAATCGATATTCTTCTATGAACAACTTCCACATAATTATTGGAATACAATATACATATAGGAAGTTCTTCTGATTTCTCCTCTTCCTTATTACCTGTACGTCCAGCTAATAAAACATAATCTTTAAAGCTAGACAATATTTCAAGGTAATAAGATATGTGACGTAAATGAACTTACCCATAATTGATTAGAAGTCAACAGTCCCTTGTAAACAACAGTCTTGAGAGAAAGACTGCAAATGTAGAACCTCGTACCAGGCACGACTAGCTCGTGTGACGCTCGCTTGCGCAGCACAAAAATCTGAAAACACGTATACATAGTGGAGAACCTGAAAACACTTTACAATGCAGGGATCCTTGTAGCAAAAACAAAACATACACTGATTTTATAGTTGTTAACTACTATCTGAACTTCATATAGTACCTACTAATTTCTACTTTACACAAAAAGTTATTTAAAGGTTGGCGACCTCCTTATCTACTCATATTATTATAATATCGTAGCGTATGAGTATTTTTTACCACAAATATCCCATAGGGAATAATATATATATTAGGGAGTGTATAATTTACGTTTGACAGGAGGTGGGCGCTCCGGACGGCGACTCACGCAACGATCTGAAAAAACACCTATAACAGTTCCTAAGAATCTAAACCCTATTACTAATATTCATAGAGAGTGAATTCCCAACTAGGTAATTTCGTTGAGAGTTCATACTCTGTATATATATGTGTATATAATACCGGCGCGTGGGAGCTCTCTTGGTCTTACCTGCCTCGTAAGCTGTTCGTCGTCGATATCGCCGGTAACAAACACTTGACGCATATATGGCTCCGAGTTACGAGCCACCTGACCTGAAAGCGAGCCAAAATAGCCTATTACTTACTTTACCCAGGGGAGTATTGATCAAATTTAACAACTAACAACTATACTTTTAAACAGTCAACTAGTAGACTATAGAACGTGTAGCAGTAAATTCATAAATATAAATATTGCAACACTTGAATAGTGTCCGAATGGGTTTTGAACTGACCATATGATGACATTCATGATCGTTCGAATGACTAAATGTGAAAATAACAATTCAAGCGCTATTTAATGGCCATGAGTTCAGTAACATGACAAGCAAAACTCAAGATTCAACAAAAAGTTAATTAATTAAACATTTTTTTAGGGAAAAATATTTTGTGAATCTTGAATCTTAAAATTTTCTTTTTTATATTAAGGTCATTACAAAGAATTGCATTACTTAAACACAAACAAAAAAAAAAGTTTATGTATAATAAATTACGTAATCAAAGGAGTACCTACGTATTAGCATTGCAAATTGTGATTGCATTTTAAGTACTTAGATGATAGGACCAGGTTAATATTATTGCCATTCAACCTCTATGGCTAAGCAAAGAAATTTGAAATGCTAAAATAGTAAATACTCAACTAATACTAAAACTTACCACGCGTAATGGAATTATTATAAAGCATTACAGTAAGGAATCTTTTCAACCGATCTCAAAAAAGGATTACCTTCTCAAATTGGTATGACCTCCCGTTTTCGTTTTTTATTTGTAAATTATGTTTCAGTCTCACTATAGTCCTATTTAAGGACTAAAAGAGAAATATACTTCGAAGAAAAAATACCACCTCTGAAGGTAAAAAATGAAAAGTTTATTACAATTCATCATAATGTAACACTTTGAGGTCGGTTATGCTTTTTAAAAGTTAATTATTAAACAGAGAGAAGACACTAGCATTTAATTTTTGCAGTATTGCGACAAATTCAATTACGCGTGGTACCGCCAGTATCTGATGTTAAATCGAAACAAACCATTTGGTCAAGCATCGCATGACCGCGTCAGCCGCTATTAACGACCCGATTTTACTACGTGTACGACCTGCAATGATAGTCGCAAACAAAAATTGCAACGCCGATACTGTTCTTATATCGAACGCGACAAAAATATACAGGTATGTACTTTATGAGAAGAACATAAATTAACATACATTTCAATTAGTCGAAACTGCTTTTGTCAGCTGAGGGCCTTTTTATGGTTTCAAGTTCAATTTCTTTGATTTAAATACGTTAATTATAAATTTGGTTTTCGTACAGTTTAGATCAGGGATTCTTAAAGTGGTAGATATCGACCCCATAGGGTCGAAATCGGTTTTCCAGGGGGTCGACATAAACGAAAACTACTTTTGGGGGTCAAGGTGTCTAAAAATCGGCCTCTATTAATTATCACAAATTCTATTTAAATTTTGAAACTTTCAAGACACTGTATTAATTGTGTTACGTATAATAACTTGTTATAAGAATGACTAATATTTTATTAGGAAGTATAATTGTTGTATGTACTTTTAATAAACTCAACAAGTCGATAAGCGTGCAGTTATTTGGCTATGAGGTTTCAGTTCATTTTAGAAAAGGGATATCTTGCCAAAACTAGAAGGAAGACATAAGAGAAGAATGGCATAACTCAAAGTAATCGACTTTCCAACACGACGCTTAACAAATCCTCATTTTAAAAATAAAAGCATATTAAGATTGTTAGTTAAGTCACTCTTCCCGTATAATCATTCTTTCTAATAAACTTATATGAATAGATAAAAAGGCTCTCAACTAAATTTTTTAGATGATACCAATTTGTACTTGACATTAGTAATAGTTCCCCGTAAAATCTATCCAACATATAAATATTATCATATATCTGACAACATCCTAGTCTATACTTGATCAATGTACGAGCTGGATTTGGAGTTTTTGAAAACAATTTATTTTCTTTTTGAAAATTACTTCGTATTCACTTAAATATCACTTCGTATTCATCCAGTTCAGTTAAACATTTTTTTAGGTTATTTGCACTAATAATATTCCTAACACACTGATACACTGTTCTTAATACAGCTAGTAAGTACAGTGTAGCAGGGCTGTCCATCAAACAAACTTATTAGGTAATGCAGCGTCCAAAAGTAATCTCAAAACTTGAGTCATGAAAGTTCTTAATTAAACTAAACCTAGGCACATTTTCGGTTACTACGAGTATATCTGGATGTCGATGCGTTTTGTCCAATTTTTTTTTTCGATTGACAATGCAATCTACAATTAGAAATATATTTGTTTACAATTGTAAATCTACTAGACTTCGCTCTATTAAGAAGGAAATTCCATATTTTCGATAACACTACATGTAACAGTCAGTTTTCGTGCAGCCTTTTCTTAAGAAGAGTGTACCAGAGGCACCTGTAATTTTGTAACTCATGTTCTGCTGAGTCGAATTTAGTTAAGTTACTAAGAATTTGTATGGACAAATACTAGATAGTTTATTAATTAAATAATCATATATGCTTGCGTCGCTTTCTTGAAATTAGACTATAAAAAAATACGAAGAAAAACAACTCTACTACAAATTGCTCAAACATGTGGGTCACCGTAGTTCTGATTATAGGTAATTGACAATAATTTTCATAACGAAACACAATAATTGTTGTCAAGGCCATTTGTTGATTGTATTTTGTCATTGATCAAATATAGAAGTTCAGGATATGAATCGTAACTATGAGATTTGGCAACAGTGATGATATTTTATATGATTTGCATGATCATTATATGTATAGCTTAAAATTTTCGTAATAGCATGTGTATCTTGTCTTTTTTTATTATAAACAGTAATGTTTACAGAATTTGGATGCTAATTATCGTATTTATATTATCGTTGGTATTTATAAAAAACTTAAAAAAAAGTTTCAATTGACTGTTTTTTTTTTGTTTGTTTTTAAGGGGCCCATTATCTGTTATTGAGGACCGGTGAATTTGTTGGTAAAAAGCCAAAAAAATTGTCGTTGCACCATTTACAAGTAGGTATTGGAGTTTTATTCCTCGCTATATCGGGAATATGAATAATGATTATATTTTGTAAAATGTTTGCAAAAAGATACATAAAAGCAATACGTTCTGTATGTACAAGATATTACCTACATTTTAAATCTGAGACTTAATTAAGTCCCATGTATATGGCCTATCATTTACCACATTAATATCATCACTGATGTCTATCTTATTGTCCTTCTAATAATTTGAACTCTCCTATGAGTAATTTTAATATAGAGGACATGGTCTAGAAAAAAAAAACAAAAATTATTCGTATCCATTAAAAGATATTAGTTTTTGCAGTGCCATACCTATGGTGGAATTGTTGGTGGGTACTGTGCGCCAGCATAGCACCTTTAGACCGAGACTCTCGGCTAGTTCCCCGAATTTCTTCTCGATGTTCTGATGATGTAACTTGTCCAGGAAGAAGATGCCAGTAGCATATCGACCGAATTCTGGCAAGTCGATCTGGTGCGTGTCTCTGTAGAAGAAATTTAGTACATTATTAATTCAATTTTGTACATGGAGTTTTAGGGGTTTTCGAAATGTATTTATATGCACATAAGTATGCCAAATGTATATAACAAACAAAACTGTTGGTTTCATAGTTCTAACGATAATGTATGTAGATAAACATTTAGATTATTGCATAAATAAAATATATATAAAGTTAATTGAACCAGCAGAAGCCTTATCGCTGAAAGCTAATTTTCTAAGCAACATGTTGGTGTGAAGAAATTCGGCAGAATTAAAAAAAAAAACAGTTACCTTGCTCAAAATTTTGGTATTTTGAACAAGAGTTCCTTTTTAACAAAATTAAACAATAATTTTGGCAACTAATACATGGTTTCCTTTTATTTATATTTTTTGTGGACTAGGGGGGTTAACCGATGGTGACTACCGCCACCCACGGACACTTGCTACTCAAGAGAAACAAGTGCGTTGCCAGAACTTTGAGCGCTGTTCCTCCACCAAAGGGTCATCAAACCTTCATCATCATCAACAGCCTTTACTAGTGCACTGTCGAACGTGTTGGCCTACTATACCACGCTGGCAGTGCTTGTCGAACGTGCTGGCAGTCTTGCAGTGCTGTTGTCCTGCGCAGTTTGCTCCCATAGTCGACTCTTACAACACCCACGGGATGAATAGAGGTGGTGACACTCTGTATTCTGAATCCGTCACCACACGGACAGTAGAGTCCATCACCACACGGTGTAAAGTAACAAAAGAATTACTGAACACCGGTTTTCTGTGAGGACATGATATCACTCCGATTGAACAGGCTCATAAGTGTTGAACCATGGCCCTCCCATAATCCCCTTGAGATTGGGGGAGCAATTGTTGTAATAGGATTTTGTTACGCGAGTTTCTTCTAAACATTTAAGAAGAATTGAATGCTCAGTTTTGGCATCGTTAGTTACAGTAGTGTATTTGGTTTATAAACATTGTTATTACAAAATATAGTAGCAGAATACATGCTATATGGTTCGGATTGTATGACACTACCGTTCTATTTTAATACAATCATTCAATTGAAGACGGCTGTTCGCAAGGTACATATCTATGATTAGATTACTTGTTTATTTAAACTGGTACAAAGAACACTAAATGCTACTAAATTATTATTTGTGTAATTTCTAAAGAGGCCACTGTATGTTTCTAAATACAGTACATACTAAGAAAGAGTTTCTAAATGATATTTATCTACTGTACCAAGGTTGTCAACTGTTCTAGACTAATTAGAACACAACTTATTTCTTTAATCTTAAATAAGGCCGTGTTGTGCAGAAATTGTACAATTCACAATCTGGATAAAATTGAAGTTTCGACTCCGCAAGGCAAAGGCAATGGGAAATATTACTAAATTAAAATGAAGTAGAATATTGTATCGGTATTGTATGTATTCAGCTTAAATCATCTATCCGAGTTTTATCACTAACACAGGACATCAAAATATAAATAAATGTAAGTCCTTCATTACATATAGGTTAATTGATACTAAAGAAAGGTTCCCTTTAGTTATCCTATTTTTTTGTTTAAGTGGTAAGATAATGAATTATTATTACTATCGCAAAGTAAGGCACCCTTGACTTCAGTTTAAATGGTCAGGTTTGGCTTTGATTAGTAGACTATTAGGATCGCCAACAAACAAAATACACTAATACATATATGAACTAATATAACAAATGCATGGCTTAGTGCTCATTTAAATAGTAGCAAAACTTACCTTTTAATTAAATTAAAGTAAATTAGTGTACAAATATTCTTATGTTCAAGTATCTATAAAGACATTGTGTAATTACCTAGTTTTCTTTTTGTAAAATAATACATAGGTTTCCAAGCAGGTTGTCAAGGTTTATTTCAAACGTTTTTAAATATTTATTTTTACAAAAGACAACTCTAACTTTAATGAGATTATAACTGTAGATAAACTAGCGGTTTGCGTTCAGAATTAAACTTAATTGTGTCGGACCAATAGTCGTTATTTAAATGATTGCACAGATGTTTTTCTGTACTATTAACTATTCTGTACCTACTACAAGTTCTTAAAGTATTAGCTAGTTTATTATTTACATTTATACAACAATATTGTTATATAATTTTCGTATTCTGTGAAAAATCTCGGGTTTTTATTGACAGTTACATGTCATGATGACTGCTCATGTAAGTGTCCTCTCTATTGGGTAATTGAATTCTTCGTGTAGAGGTTTCGGTTGTCTTTCACTTAGTAGTGTGCAGTTAATGTGTATGTGTTTATTCAGATCTTCCCTTTGCCTGTGTTGTTAAGTTTACTTCAATAAGGCGTTCTTCATAAGTGCGACTTGTTTTTTACGATACAACCGTGTCTGTGTATGTGCAATATTTGTATTGCGTATAGTTTATATTTTATGTATTTATACTGGGTGATGAATGTTTATTTTTTTGTAGTAGTATACATGTAGGTGTACATTATATTTAGTTATTTTATTTATGTATGTATTAAGTTGTATATTTCACATCCTTCTCTCTTCACTCCTAAGGTTTACTATACTGGAGAACTCAAGTATGGGTTAACCTCGCCTTTGTGCATACCATTCTCTTTATGATAATGTTTTTTGTGTACAATAAGAATAAATAGGTAAAATAAATAATTTATTGTTTATTTATTTACACATACTCCATTTATCAATATATAAAATGAAAAGTAAATAAATGATAGCTGTGTAGACAACGCTGAAAATGTATAGTAAGTATTTGCATATTTTGCCTTATGCGTATTAACTTAACGAAATAATCCAGATAAGGCCATTATAAAAGATTAATTACTTTTACAACTGTATAAACAAACAATATTAATAACCCATATCTTTAACTGAGATCAGACTTGTTTACAAAACTATAAACACGTCTCAAGGATTTTCTTACTAGGTTAAATTTACTCCTTATCTACACGATCGCATATCAAAAAACTGCAGTCCAGTACAACGGTTTCATTTCGCTTCGGTAGGTATCACAGTTGATGAACTGTGGAAATTCATGGACGTCAAGATTTGTTATCTTTCGCTAAATAAATATAAATCTATAATTAGTAAGAATCACTGTTAAGTTATCATTCCAAATTTAGTAACTTAAAACAGTTTTATTGTATAACGATTGTTATCACAATGTCACGAGGTTAAGCTCTTTTAGAATATCAACAACATATTCAAAAAAAACTATTGGGCTCTCATCTGTAGTCTTATGAAAGATATAAATAAAGTTTCACTTACGTTTCTAAGCATCCGAGTTGTTGTTTGCATATACTGCTATACTGCATTGACGACCGGATGGCGTAGTGGTTTGTGTAACGGACTGCTATTCCAAAGGTCGCGGGTTCGATTCCCGCTCAAGTCAAACATTTGTGTGCATGAACATTTGATGTTTGATTTGGTCTGGGTGTTTCTATGTATAATGTGTATGTATTTACAAAAAAAAAAGTATATATGTATTTATATCAGTTGTCTAGTACCCATAGTACAAGCTCTGCTTAGTTTGGGACTACATGGCGTTGTGTGTGTGTGTGGTAGAATATTATTATTATAATTATTTTCATCATAACCCTGCAATTCGCGTATTTTATTTCCTCTATTTATGTCCTAACTAATATTATGATTTTAAGACTAATGCGTATTTGTTACATTTTCACGCGCTAACTTTTAAACCTGTTTTCTTAAAACTTTTCATATACGTTATCTGGGGTGTACAGAAGAGGACATAAAATACATTTTTCGGAGAATCCCGATTTGATTGACAAAATTTACAGTAACCGCTTGTCTGTCCCGTGACATTCATTGTACTACATGCGAGTTGTCCTAATAAATGAGAATTCATTTCCATGAACATCATTTTAATTTTTCCTAATTTAGTTGTCCTAATTTAGACAGGGGACTGAGATTGCTGAAAGAAGCCGGGATCATAAAACGATAGATCCGTGCTTTGCTTGGAGAGCCCACTGGGACCAAATAAGCCATCAAACTAACCTAAAAGCTTAAAAAGGTACACGTGCTGTTATCACTTATCACAATGTAAAGGTCACACGGTCGTCTGCGCGCGCACTCATGACGTCGCACATCAAACCGCAATATTGACCAACAAGCTGTCCCACTATCGGTACTCGAAATTATTAATCATAATACCAGAAAAACATTAGAATTATAGTTTTAGACGAAAAAACATTTTGACTCGTATTTGTATAAAACAATCGGCCATGAAAATGTAGTTACTCCATTGTCTTAAATTATTGCAGTACTGTATAATATATGTATGTCGCGTTTATCTAGTAACAATTTATGAATAGTTATCGGAAACATGGGTTATTATTTTGAAAGATTTTCAAAGAGAGTTTATAACCGAGGCTAATGTTGTTATAAACAATAGTAAAATTTAAAAAAATAGGAACTTAATGGTAATTGAAAATTTTATAGAATAATAAAATAAAAAGAAAACATCAAAGACGTTCGTTCGAATGAACCAGTATTTTTCCGAAACAAACATTTCGCAATACTTACGTGAAACCCGTCAACTGTCTATGTCTAGACAGTTTCATCGCAAGGAAATCACATAATGGATAATAAGTAATTGAGAAGATTCATTGTAGACAATTGAATAGCGACTCTGTAAATACATATTTAAGTGCAAAATCACTTATACTTAGCTAAGGGCATACGTTTATTGTATGTAAAATCTTTATATACCCCACTAGTGTACTAAAGTTATAAGAAATATACGACATTTCATTAACATTATAGTTAGTCAAACTAAATGTAAAAAAGTAATAGTTATCAGTCTTCTCAGCTGAGATGAAATCGTCAGTGACTCAGTTAAAAAGAGGGTCATCACAGTGATTGAACTTGAGTTAAATGTTGACTTCTCTTAATGGAGAAGCATTTCATGAAGCAGACATGTTAATCATTTCTAACGTTCTTTCAAGAAGTATCTGATAAAAATATTTCATGGTAAGTT